ATTTTGGGCTCTGGCAAGTCGACTTATCAGACCTGTTAAGTCGACTTATGAACTCTTCTCCGGTTGTCGTTTTTTCGCTCTGCCAAGTCGACTTATGCAGACTGATAAGTCGACTTACGACGGGTTTTTTGAAAAGTTCAGGTTCCTATTTGCAGTCTGTTTGGTTTTCTGTTTTGGTATAAATACCAATACGATTTGAGGGTTCTGAGGGAGCATATTTGGGGAAATTGGAGCACAGAAAAGAGAGATCTTTCTGAGCTATTGGTTAGGGTTATTGATTGAGAGGTTGAGAGATTTGTTGGTGAGATTAGTTGGTTCGTTTGAGCGATTTGTAATCTCAATTTGTACTCTCCTTCTCTATTAGTGGAAACCCTCTCTTTTCTTGCCCCGTGGACATAGGCAATTGCCGAACCACGTTAAAATTGGTGTTTGGTTTTGTGCATTGATATTTGGTTGTTTTTGGCCTTCTTTGATCGGCGTTTGTTTTGGTTCCTCGGCGCCGCCGTCTGTCCCAACAAGTGGTATCAGAGCATATCACTGTTGTCCGTCCCTACAAGTGGTATCAGAGCATATCGCTGTTGTCCGTCCCTACAAGTGGTATCAGAGCTCGGGCTACGCTTGGGCTATTTGGAGGAGTAGATCGCTTTGGAAGTTCGTCTAGGGCTTCGTTTGGTGATAAAGGTGGGATCTTTTTGGTAAAAATCTCGTCTTTTTCAATTTGGATCTATTTCTCGTTTGTTTTCACATTGGTTTGGTGGTGTTTTGAGGATTATGGCTGAGAAAGAAGGAGTTATGGGCAGTACTTCCGGCGTGAAGACCGTCCAAAGCTCGAATATCCACTCGATGAAGATTGACGTGGAAAAGTTCAATGGCACAAACAATTTTGGACTTTGGCGATGCGAAGTCATGGATGCGCTCAACGTACAAAAATTGAAAGATACATTAGAGTTGGATGGGAAACCGGACAATATTGATGAGAAGGTTTGGAAAAAGATGAATAGAACGGCGTGTGGTGTGATTAGGTCTTGTCTCACTCAAGATCTAAAGTATGATGTGATTAATGAGACTTCTGCAAAGAAGATTTAGGAGATCCCTGAGAGCAAGTATTTGACCAAGAGTGTGGAGAATCACTTGCATTTGAAGAGGAGGCTTTACCGCTTCTAGTTGAAGAAAGAAACATCCATTGGTGATCACATGAACCACTACACGAAGCTTCTTGCGGATTTGGCGAATGTAGATGTGGTGATTGAGGATGAGGACAAGGCGTTGTTGTTGTTGAGTTCCTTGCCAGACGAGGAATATGAGACCTTCGTTCTTACCCTTATTAATGGGAAGACATCTCTTTCGTATAGTGAGGTCACCGCTGCACTTGTGAATTATCAACTTCGAAAGAAGGATAAGGAGACTTCGATTGAGCCGGTAGCGGGGGCGTTGGTCACAAGAGCAAAGGGTCCAAACCGTAGTGGGAGGTCGCAGTCTAGAGGGGCACATCTTGGAGTTCGTAAGAATCAGTGTGCCTTTTGCAAAGAGGATGGATATTAGAAAGCCGAATGTCCAAAGTTAGTTGATCGAGCCGGGAAGAATAAGGGAAAAGCTATTCAAGCTTCAGAGGCGAATGTTGTCAATGCTAGTGGCAACATTTCAGATTCGGATTCTTCGGGCTACTCATTATCTGCACTGCCGTCAGTTTGTGTTGTCTACTCTACAGAGTGGATGTTGGATTCGGGGGCTACATACCACATTTGCCCTATGAGGGATTGGTTCTCCAGCTTTCAGGAGTTGGAAAGAGGAGATTTCGTGCTCATGGGGAATGATCACAAATGATCTATTGGTGGTATCGGTACCGTTCGGATCAGGATGAGTGACGGGGTGATTCGGGAGTTGGTTGGAGTGAGGTTCGTTCCTCAGTTGAAGAAGAACATCATTTCACTTGGAGTTTTGGAGGCAGCAGGCTATAGGGTGACCTTGGCGGATGCACGCTTCAAGGTTACCTTTGGGTCCATGATTGTGATGAAGGACGTCAGAAGGAGCAATTTGTACTATTTGCTTGGGAGCACGGTGATTGATAGGGAGATGACGACTTCATCAGATTCGACTAGACTGTGGCATTGTTGGGTGCTGGGGTATATGATTGGTAATGTCGTGCATTGGTTGTTGAGGAGTGCTATGACCTGCAGATTGAAGTCCTGTGAGCATATTAGGATGAGCAAGACCGTGGTGGAGTTTGGCATTCCTATCCATCGAGCGAGGGGTCTTTTAGGAGGTGTTCAGTCAGGCATTTGGGGGCCTTCCAAGGAGGCATCATTGGGAGGTAATCGTATCTTGGTTTCCACAGTTGGTGATTGTTCTAGGCATTATTGGGTCGCGACCAGTTCCCGTTGGTGTAAAGTCCAGAAAGGTAACTCGTTGTTCTAGATTTGGTAGGGGTCCTTTCTTGCGTTTGTGCCGAGCTCACGGCAATAGGAGACACTTCATTGGTGTGGAGACTTTGGGGCGACGAGATGAGATGACAGTTTCGATCGGTCGTTCCTTTCCGGAGGAGGATCGGCGTTGGTTGTCGAGCATTGGTTCTGGAGCTTCGACATATTTGGGTCATCTTAGTCACAGGTCGTCGACTGCTGCATTAGGAGTTATTAGATCTGGTGGAGCTGCTTCAGAATTTGGGTTGCGTCGGATATTTGGATACCCAGCATTTGGTCACATCGAGGATGTGAGATTTGATCCGATTGCGCGTTTGGGGTTCGAAGGCTCAGTTGATTATCGTTTGGGAGCTTCTGATTTTGTTCTGAGCAGGTATGTCACTTTTGACTCTCTTGATCAGGTCGTTTGGATATCGCAGCAGGTGGAGGGTGATGCTACTTCACGTTGGGTGGAACTTATTCCACATACTCCAGATCATACTGCGTCATTTGGGATTCCAGCTGAGGTGACACAGGTTGGGGATCATTTGATTTCGGATGCAGATGATGGATTGGTTTTGGATTCGGTTGCAGCTGGTGGACATGATTTGGATACGACCATTGGTTCACCTCAGATGGAGGTGTTTGATTTGTATCAGTTTGGGGCCGCTATTAGTTGCAGATCCGTTGACGATATTGGGGAAGAGTTGCATACTTTTCTATTTGTTTGAGGGTCTTTGGAGGCCGTTTGGGTGAACTACGTGAAGGCTTGATTCCTTGGGTAAGAGGATACGTAGGCAGTCTTTATGATGCAGCCGATTTGATGAGCGACATCGACATTTGGGGTGGGTGTTCGCACTCCCATTTGGGTCTCAACATGTGAGGCATTTGTTTGGTTGGTGTCGGTTTAGTTTTGGGAAAACTTCACCGAGGTGGAGAATTATGGAGAAGAACTTGGAAAAAGCAGATTTTTGGTCATAAGTCGACTCATGCACAAGCATAAGTCGACTTATGGTAAGTCGACTTATGTTGTGTCGTAAGTCGACTTACGATCTGCTGTGGATTGTTGATTTTGGGCTCTGGCAAGTTGACTTATCAGACCTGTTAAGTCGACTTATGAACTCTTCTCCAGTTATCGTTTTTTCGCTCTGCGAAGTCGACTTATACAGACTGATAAGTCGACTTACGACAATTTTTTTGGAAAGTTCAGGTTCCTATTTGCAGTCTGTTTGGGTTTCTGTTTTGGTATAAATACCAATACGATTTGAGGGTTCTGAGGGAGCATATTTGGGGATTTTGGAGCACAGAAAAGAGAGATCTTTCTGAGCTATTGGTTAGGGTTATTGGTTGAGAGGTTGAGAGATTTGTTGGTGAGATTAGTTGGTTCATTTGAGCGATTTGTAATCTCAATTTGTACTCTCCTTCTCTATTAGTGGAAACCCTCCCCCTTCTTGCCCCATGGACGTAGGCAATTGCCGAACCACGTTAAAATTGGTGTTTGAGTTTGTGCATTGATATTTGGTTGTTTTTGGCCTTCTTTGATCGGCGTTTGTTTTGGTTCCTCGGCGCCGCCGTCTGTCCCAACAACAGTGAGTTTGTTATAACCAGACTCAACCATGTTCCAAACAAAGTTAGTGGACAAAAGAAATACTCTTATACGAGCTTTCTAAGACAAAAAGTTCATGCAATCAAAAAGTGGGCATTCAGGAAAAGTGATCAAGGTTCCTAAACATGTCATCTATCCTTAGGATGTTAAGCCTAAATAAATATACCAATGCTTTGATATCATTGTTGGAATCTATATGCACGCCTGGAAGGAGGATTGAATAGGATTGCCACAGCTTTTTGAGTTATCATAGACTTTGTAAAAAAATTAAATGGAAGTAATAAAATGATAAGCAAAGCAATAGACTCAGAAATAATCATAGCTAGAACACATAAGATTTTATAGTAACTTGGATAAATAATTCTACATCCACTCTTTCTTCTTGTGAAGGGGCTTCCTAACTATGTGAAACTTTACCTGAATCACAAATCCGATTCAGTAGGCTTATCAAGACTAAAACCCTAGTTTCACCTCAACTAGTCGTCTAGCCAATCCAATCACAAATTGAATAACCTAGCCTTAGCTAATACTAATTCCTCATTTCCCTCCTATTTGAGTATGCATTCAAACAAGCATACAACTGATCAAATGATTGTAAAAACAAGTTTAAACCAAAGTGTCATTACCATTTCGTGCAATACAAAAAGATCTTATAGCTCTAAACCATTCTTCAAAAAATATAACCAAAATTTAATGAAGAAACAATGAAAGATCTGATTGAGGACAGCACTCCTTGAAGAAACAATGAAGATGTGATAAGAAAAAAAGAGATGAGCTTTGCAGAAAGTTCTTGTGGGATAATTCTGATCAATCTTTTAAAACTTCTCTTGTCTCGTGGGAGAGGGTGTGCATGAGTAAGGATCAAGGAGGTCTGGGGATTTTTTCTGCCCTCATTTGGAATGTTGCTTCAGCCATCAAGTGTATCTGGCACATTTATACCAACAGGGAATCCCTATGGATTAAATGGATTCATGAAAATTATTTAAAACATTCAGATATTTGGCAAGTGGTTGCAAAGCCTGGTGACTCCTGGATGTGGAAACAGTTGATTAGAACAAGGGATAAAGCAATGGCTTTGTGTGGCGGTGAGAACAATCTTAAGCTGCTGATTAGTTCCTGCTGCAAAAATTCAAAACTCAGAATCTCTGCCATATACAATGCTCTCTTACATTCAACTAATGAAGTGCAATGGACCAAAGTTGTTTGGGGAAGATTAAATATCCCTAAACACTCATTCATAAGCTGCTTAGTCTTTCAAGACAGACTTCTAACAAAGGACAGGTTATATAGAAGAGGAATCATAAATTCTAATCTGTGTAGCCTTTGCGATGGTGCTTGCAGTGAATCCAGGAATCACTTGTTCTTTGAGTGTGCTTTCTCTTGTGAAGTATGGAATAGTATCATGGATTGGATGGATTTTAATTGGCGTGCCTGTCATTGGCATCATGTTTTAGAGTGGTTCACTGTCAGACAGCGTGGGAAGGGGCTTAAGCAGCTACTCAAGAACCTGGCACTGACAGCAACTATTTATTACATTTGGAGGGAACGCAATGTTAGAATCTTCCAACAAAAATACAGGAGCACAACACAGCTGATTAGAGAAATCGAGACTGATATTTGGATCACCATACTCAACAATCCATTAGCTAGATAAATCAGAAATGTGACTTCTTTTGTGTGGTTACATTTTGATTTAGAGATGTTCTGTTGAATGATTGTGTACTCTCATATTCTATCTGAGCATTTGATGTCCTATATCTTTCATATTTGGTTATGAATAAAATTTTTCATTGACTAAAAAAAAGAAGAAGATGTGATAAGAAGCTCTGGGGAGGTGGAGATGAGATTCTCTTCAATAAGTACCAAACACTGGCTCTCTCTTTCTTTTTCTATCCTTTATTCTCAATTAGGTCAAAGGCAAGAGAGGGAATCCCTATAAAAACAGCTAAGATTAAAAAATTAAACCTGTGATTGTTCTCGAGTCTCATTGATGAGCATGCCTCAACAATGAGTATACATTCTCAACAATGAGAAAAAAGTCTATGGACTTTCCTCTAATTGATGAAGAGTTACAATCAACTATGCTTGGTACCTTTCTCACTTATGAGCAAAGATACTCATTAATGTGCCTAAAGGTACACTCATCAATGAGAAAGGATATTCATTGGTGAGTATCTTCGCCGAAATTCCTGTTGAGCTAATTCTCACTCCTTTTGCTCTTAATCTCATTTCTAATTTATTATAACTTGCACAAAATATCTCAAACACATATTAGATCCAAATGAATGCTTTTTGATATTCAAACTAATACATTGTATGGACACGGTTCAAGCACCGTTTACTAGTCACAGATTTCTTCTTTGTCGGAGATGCTTCTGCTTTTCGCTTGTTATGCTCAGTGGTTGTTTAAGTTCTACTCTATATTTTTATTAAGTTAACTATATGAAGGGGATATCTTTAGTGGTTACCCAGAACATGCTTCAGGATTTTGTTGTGAGGTACCAAATTTCTAGTCTTTTAGAACAGAAGATCTCTTAGACGAAGATGATGTCTTCCATCACAGAGTTGACGGCTCCAGTCTATCAACTACAATTGGAGATTGGGTTGCTGTATCTACTTCATTCTTTTTCACAGGAGGTTTTCAGTAAGCTGGGGATTGTCCCATGGAAAATGACGTAGAACTCTCTTGCAATCTCACTTAGATATATCATTATTTGTGAACAGTTCAAAGTAATCCCGAGGTTCAGTATTTTTTAACATTTTGTGACCCTCAATATTGAAGGGTATTCCTCTTGATATGAAAGGGTAGAAGAGTTAGTTTTTCTTTTGCATCGAGCTGGCCCTTTTTTCACCCCTTTCTTTATTAGTGGCAGGGTCTTAAGGATGGGTTGGCCCCTCATTGTAGAGGGGTGTCGGAGAAGAGTCCACAACTGATGAGCTAAGAGACATTGAGAAAATCAGGTCTCTCCTCCTGCCAAAGGACATTATTGAGTTGTTATCTAAACCTAGCTTGTCAGATGCAATGATTATATACCTCCTAGTGATGCACTAACTTTCGTCGGGTACATATCCTGTTTGCCTAACTCGAACATCAAGAACCAACCCATTAAGGACCATCTAATCCGGATTGCAATAATACTGCTATGGATTCATCCAAAGATCATGATCATCAAGGGGAGAGGTCTTAAAATGAAAAGATTCTGAACTCGAGGTTGGTACAATATCTGAAGCTATCAAGAAAGTATCTGAGTTTTTGAGTTCTACCAAGTGAGACCTTTCCTCTGCTTCTCAAGAATAGGTTTGTTTGAGATTGATGCTTTGAGAGGAAAAATACCATGCTGGCTGTTAGGCTTCATGAGAAATTAGAGCTTACAAAGGTGTCTATGGCCAGTATAAGCTTGACAATCTGAGATGGGCAGCGCAGGCAAGCGATCATCAGGCTCAAAGTTTTAAGAGGGAATTATAGTCCTCTGATATATGCTTACAGATACTTAGAGACAGCCTTCATATCCTTGAACTGGTTTGGTATTGCAAAGGAGTGTTCCCAAGATTGGATTCAGAAATACGGTGCAATCTACCAGGATTTGCTTCAGACTTAGATAGGCTTGTTACCATACAGGAGCAGTTGGTTGCCACTCAAAGAAGAGTGTCAATAGCAGAAAAGGAGCACGCTAGCACACAAAGGCTATTTGTGCGTTTAGATTCCAATGCTGCTTTTGCTCTTTAAGATAGTCTGACTAGCGGTTACTCTTCATCCATTAGGTTGGGTGTTGTTGCTTCTCAAGCGGAGGCGCTAGCTAGAGTTTATCCCATAACTGTTAAATCAAATTCTGCACCCTAGGTTGTACATGAGTAGGATCCTTTGATGTGTTCATTTTTCTCCATGAAACTTTATTTTTGAGTATCATGTTAAGAATTTAGACCTTTGCATTAATGATCCAAATTTTCTTTTCGAATCCTGTGATGATCATGTCAACAAAGTTCTCAAGTAAAGTTAGTTTGCCTATACAGGAAGTCTTGTTTGCCTTTAAGTCAAGAGTGTGAGATTAAGATCATGAGGTCTTTGGCATCACTGTTGACAAAGGTCCTTGAGGGAGGTCTTATGGTTACAAGCTAGGGATGATATTCCTTGAGGGTGATCGGTTGCCTTAAGTTGAGAGTGTATATCCCTAAAAACGGACTTTGTTCCTCGATCCAAGGATTTAGATCGTTTTAGAAGGTCCTTGCCTATTATGGGAGAGAGTCTTTTACTTCTGATGGAACACTTTTAATGCCCCTGAATAGGGGTCTCTTTTGTTCAGGGCTTGGTGCCTCGAGCTGGAGATGAAGATCTCGTAAGAAGGACTTCAATAGTTCATGACCTGGGTTTCACAAACCTAGACCTCAGGACTATACCTTGGTAAGAGGATTTTCACCCTAAGGAGAGGGCTACTGACTTGTTGAGCTGTAGGCTCACTATCTGTAAAACCCCGAAAGTTTTGAGCTTATGAATGATGAATTGAATTAGTATGTGATTAATTACAATAAGTGGATATTTATTTTGATAAATATTATTAATTAGTGTATGAGTACACTAACAAGTATTTTGAATATTTATTTTGATAAATATTATTAATTAGTGTATGAGTACACTAACAAGTATTTTGAGTGTAAACAAGTTAGTACATGAGAAAGAAACGAGTCGAAACATGCACAATGGCCAAAGTCGCGTATCTGGAATTTCGTGTGTTGGTCGACCGCCGCACACCCTACAGTCGACCGTCGATCGGGAAACCAGTTTTTCCCTGTTTGAGTTGGTTTCGGGTATTTGAGGCCCATATTTGTTTTCACTGTTATATATATCTTTTGTTCACAAGTTTTATAGTATTTTAAAACCCTAGCAGCCACCAAACTCCCCTATAAACACTAATTTGATTTTTGAGGAAGATTCAAAGGCTTTAGAGCGGGATTTCAGGTTGTTTCGACTTTTGGCTTAGGGATCTACCTTGGCTTTACATCTTGCACGTTTTTCAACAAGTTTCAAGCGTGTTTCATCTCTGCTGATCCCTCTCCCTATTTTAAAATGTTTTTAAAAGAGTTTTAATAAGTTGTATAGAGCCTAATTGATTAATTTGTGTATAAAAAGAAAATCTTGTATATTATGTGTATAAAGACTAGGTCTTTTCATGTTAAAGAGATTAAGAAAGAATTTACAGAAGTATTTTAAGATCTAAAAATGATTAAAAACTTTATTTATAAGAATTTAGATGATTTGTTCTTCGTTTTTAAGGTTTCTTGCATGATTGAGGGTTTAAATATGAGTTCTTGTGCAAATAATCATGCTTTATATGTTGAAATTGTTCCCGGAGATGTTAATATGTTGTTTATATGGTTTCATGCAAGTTTCATATTGTTTTAAACAAGTTTAATCATAAAATCATGACACGAACACAATCTGTGCAGAAACTTGCACGTTCTGAACAGATCACGTTCGGTCGACCGCGCTCCAGACCGAGGCCTGGGAGGCTTCTGGTTGCAGTTTGGTCGACTGCCGCATACCCTGCGGTCGACCTCCAGTCTGGCAGTGGCCTGTGCATGTTTTGTGATACACTATTTTGATTTTCAAGAGAGTTTTTCGATCTTGTATTGTTATATTATGATGCTTAAGAGTTGTTTAACATCTGAGATGATGGTGAACACCAGATATGGATACGCACACCGAGATATGTGCACGTACACTTAGTTATGGTGAACATATTTTTTTGACACATGTTGAGTTAATAAAAGTAAATTAATATTTGTTAAAGTATTATTGCTCATCAGTTATGGATGCTCAGTGTGGATGTTTATCCCGTAATGAGATCTCTGTTGTACCACACTAGGAGTATTTGGATGTTTTTCCCATAACGAGACCTCGGTTATACTAAATACTCGAAGATGATCGGTGTATGCTTTTTGGGTTGGGCTGAGGTGCCTATTCAGCATTGTACGATCATCTGAAAGCATATTCGGAAATAGGGAGATAAAACCTATTACTGCAGGACTAATGAGCATATCCAGAAATAGAGAAAGAAAATCTATTTGCTGTAAGGACGATTGACTAAGGAGGTTGTATCTGATATCCGCATAATATTGTGCGAACCTTACAACAGTATCGTTATTTTATGTATCCGGAATAGGGAGATAAAACCTATTGCCACAGAGCGATTGAGTAAGAACCTTATAAAAGTATCGTTATTGTACATGGAGATGCGCGCGCGCACACACACACACACATATGTGTGTGTGTGTGTGTGTGTGTGTGTGTGTGTGTGTGTGTGTGTGTGTGTATATATACAGTTGTAGTTTTGCTCCCTTGTTAGATTACATATGAGTAGGGTACATCCTTTGATATATGGCATACATGATACAATGGTGATTTTTGAGTTGGGTGATTCTTCTTTTGTTATTGCGTCGGCTACCCGAGGGTAGTTCGAGATGTGACATTAGTTCTATATAGGTGAGGTTTGGAGTATTTTCTTTTGATTGATGTTTTTATTCATAGAGTTGGAATTGATGTTTAGGAATTCACAATTTGAGACATGGTATATACATGAGGGTTTCCTTGTTTGGATTATTTCGCTCGACGTACTAATTCTCGTGTTGTGGATTTCTAAATACCAATCTCCAGTTAGA